TACTCTGTTATTTTTCCAGAGATGACGATGCCTTCCAAGATGTAGCTCGATTTGCAGAAGAGACTAGAGCTGTTCGGGACAGCAATCAGACGAATACCATCAGGAGCGAGTTCCAAATATCAACATGTTCGAAATCGGTCTGCACCAGAGCTGGAACCCGACAACTATTCGTACTCGTGCTTCTCGTTCTTTCCCTTCTCCTCCCTCTCTTTTTTTCCTTTTCCATCTGCTCCTTCACCTCTTTCTCCTCCTGCTCCTCCTCTTTCTCATTCTCGTCGTCTTCCTCTTCTTGATCATCGTCGCCCCTCTTCTCCCCGTCCACCCTTCCCCCTCCTGCTCGTCATCCTCCTCTTCCTCCTCCCCCTCCTTCCTCTGCCTGCTCCTTCTCCTCCCCTCCTTGTCTTTCTCAGCCTCCTCCATCTCCTTCTCCTCCTGTCTCCTTCTTTCCCTCCGCGTCCTTCTCCATGAAACCGCGCCCTCGCGCGCGCGGAATGCGAGATTGCCGCGCCCGCATTCCGTTCATGTATATCGAGGAAGCTCCACGAGTTCCCGGCGGTAACCAAGGTTGACGGTTTACCGACGGCTCCCAGTTTCTTGAAGATTGTGAGAGATTTGAAAATGCGTTTTGAGAATCCAGATTATTGTTCTCTGCAGTCGATCATGGCGCGCTTGATGTTGCAATTCTCAGGGCGATTCGGTGCAGTATTTGATCAAAAGACTTGCGGGAACCATCGTCGTGTAAAATCCGAAACATGCATTTCGTGAGTTTCAAGCTAACGTTCGAGAACGCTCTAACGGTAACCTGGTTAACGGTTTACCGTTGGCTCCCAGTACTTAAATTGAGCTTCAGATGAGCTACAGAGCTGTTGATCACACCGATCGAAAGAAAATCAGTAGGAGCGCTCGTCTTAACTATCCAGATGCCTGAACCCAGTCTGCTACCAGAGCTGGAACCAAAGAAATAGTCGTACTCTCTTAAGGCATTTTGAGATTATGGTCGTTTTCTCTATTTGATTCGTGCTGTAGGCTGGCTTTGGAAGCCCAGAAGCATTTTGAAGCAGAAGGTGACCAAGTAGATTCGCCTACGGTATCGAGACGTCTCCTCGCTCGAGGGCGTCCTGGTGGCCTCTTCGGGCCATCTTGGGGCCATCTTGGGACTTCTTGGGGCCTCCTGGGCGCTTCTTGGGGTCATCTTTTGGAGGAGATCTATCACAGAAGGAGGGGGTGGGAATTAGCGTTGCACCCCCGTGAAGCCAAAACGGGGCCAAAACCTTAGTAAAATCAGTGATTTTAGCTTCCTCGCTGGGGGCATCTTGCACGCTCTACCGACCAGCGGCCCCCCCGTCAAGGTCAGGGGTGGGTGGGGGGGAAGGTGAACCCCTTCCCGAAGGGGGGGAGGAAAGATGGGAGAGAAAACTATCCAAACCGCCCTCGCGCAGAGGGCTCGTGGGATTCTAAGGTCGCTGCGGTATTACCATTAAGACCCTTCGCGGAACTGATTCATGTCAAATGCGAAAAACAAATGCATTCTACCAGTTTCCAGCTGATATTGAAGTAAGCTTGGTCCTCGTAATTTAAGCGCTCATTCGCGCGTCAAGAGCTCTACGAGTGTTCCGGCGGTAACCTGGTTGACGGTTCACCGCCGGCTCCCAGTACCTCGTTGAGCTCTTCGGCATCGATGGGCAGAGGAATTCCGGCGCGGGGTGGAGCTACTTAGCCCACCTGGCCCGTTCGGACAATTTGATAACCTGGCGTCGTACGTGAAGTGGGTTATGCCGCGTCTGCCTGCTCAATTCTCTAGTCCGTAGCTACAATCTTACCGTCAAAAGACGTGGAGGAACCGACTTTGTATAAACTCTAAAAGTGTATATTGCCAGTTTTCGCGCTGAGTTCCAAGGAAGCTTCCTTTGACAATCTGAGCACACATTCGCGTGAACATAACCTGGTTGACGGTTTACCGCTGGCTCCCAGTACCCTCGTGGAGCTCTTCGTTATCGATGAGCTAGATGAATTCCTGCGCGGGGTGCAGCTAGTTAGCCCGCCCGGCCCAGGCGGACAATGTGGGAACTTGGGGTCGATTTTTAGAGGATTGTGCGAGATTCGACTATCCCTTTTTGTAACCTAGATTTTTATCCCCTGCAGTCGATCATGGCGCGTTTGATTGTGCACTTCTCAGGGCTGTAGGTGCAGTATTTTGATCAAAGCACTAGGTGGAACTGACTTCATACTGACACTGCAAAATGCATTTCTCGAGTTTTTTGAAGCTTTATCCTGCATTATGAGCTCCTGTCGCGCGCAGGGAGCTCTACGAGGGCCCCGGCGGTAACCAGGTTGACGGCTTGCGGTCGGCGCCCAGTTGGCCCACCCGGGACCAGTATTTTTCACACGTGAAATGGGTTATGCCGCGTCTGCCCGTCAAATTCTCAGATTTGTAGCTGCTGTATTACTAAAGACGTGGAGGAACCGACTTCGGATGACCAAAACAATTAGCCTGGCGAAGGACCCAACCATATGCAGTTGTGAATACCGCAAATATGAATATCGTTTTCGGTGGCGCTACCTCTGGGTAGGGGAGACGCATGCGAACACCCCCACTGGGGCCTCGGTGGAGCTCCGTATGGGCTGCTGCCCACCTAACCTGGGTGGGGGAACCGCATGCGGGCACCCCCACGGCCTTCGGTGGAGCTCCCTATGGGGCTACGAAACGCTGCCCTGGGTGGGGGAACCGCATGCGGGCACCCCCACTGGGGCCTTCGGTGGAGCTCCCTATGGGGCCACGAAACGCTGCCCTGGGTGGGGGAACCGCATGCGGCACCCCCACTGGGGCCTTCGGTGGAGCTCCCTATGGGGCTACGAAACGCTGCCCTGGGTGGGGGAACCGCATGCGAACACCCCCACTGGGGCCTTCGGTGGAGCTCCCTATGGGGCTACGAAAACGCTGCCCTGGGTGGGGGAACCGCATGCGAACCCCACTGGGGCCTTCGGTGGAGGTCGCTGCTCCCTCCCTATGGGGCCACGAAGCGCTGCCCTGGGTGGGGGAACCGCATGCGGGCACCCCCACTGGGGCCTTCGGTGGAGCTCCCTATGGGGCTACGAAACGCTGCCCTGGGCGGGGGAACCGCATGCGGGCACCCCCACTGGGGCGTTCGGTGGAGGTTCCTATGGGGCCACGAAGCGCTGCCCTGGGTGGGGGAACCGCATGCGGGCACCCCCACTGGGGCCTTCGGTGGAGCTCCCTATGGGGCTACGAAGCGCTGCCCTGGGTGGGGGAACCGCATGCGGGCACCCCCACTGGGGCCTTCGGCGGCGCCCCCTATGGGGCTACGAAGCGCTGCCCTGGGTGGGGGAACCGCACGCGGGCACCCCCACTGGGGCCTACGGTGGAGCTCCAGCGATGTCCTCATGCACGGCTTCGTACGAAAGGCAGACCACCCAGGATGTTGTTTTTTTTTGCACGGGGCGAAGGCATACATGCTGATCCCGAATGGGCGCCGAAACTAGCGTGATATCCCGCGAGCCGCAGACCAGGATTTCCAGCGAATCAGCTTTCCATTCCATCCCTCACTTCCTCAAGGCAACAGTGAAGCAGTCAATGATCCTGCACCTCCGCTGCCGTCTTTCCGCAAAAGTATGTATATTATCCCCCACAGCGCATGATTATAGTAATACTATGTTGTAGGATCATGGGGGTTGGGGATCTCGTATCCACGCCGTTTGGCGTCAAGCCTGTCCACCACCTGTGACCACATGGCCGCCACCACAAGGTTGAAAGCAAGCGGGCTTCCCGCGCCTCCTGTACGAAGGCTCTTGTCCCAGGCAATCCCAGGCATGTCGCGTCCTTCAAAGACAGTGGTACATGATGCGTTGGCATGTGGTTCTAGAAGGGCATATTGCAATCGCGCAGGTATGTCAAGAACATCCATGGCACGACCAAGCATGCACGACGCGACATTATCAAAAGCACGAGCAATATCAGCAGAAGCAATGTGAGCGGCCTGGTCCTTCCCCCATGTCGAAGCATGTTGTGCAATTCCCGTCAGTGCAGCCGCGATCTCCCGCGTATGACGTCCACCAGTGAAGCCGTACATACCCAACTTACTTCTCCATGTCTCAGTGCGTTCCTCAAGCAGTATGGTGATGGCGGCATTGGCCTCATGATTTCGAAGGGATGGCTTCCTCCCCGTGCCCGCATGCAGATCCACGGATCTGTATACACCGCGCTGCCGTGCGCCTGAAACGGGAAGGTGCGTGCGCCGGTCCTCGGGCCCGGGATGGGCCTGGCCCGGGTCGCAGTCGCGCGCCAACGATGACCTCCAACACGTCTCGGCGGCGCGCAAGCAAGCAAGCAAGGCCCGGAAGCGGACGTGGGCAGAGAGCTAGCAATTCGTGTGGTAGATGGGCAGTTCGCGTGCGGAGTTGAACTCGGAAGTCCTGCGCGTAGAGCCATCGCGGGAGTGAGAGTCGGGGGGAGATTTCTGTCCAGCGCCCGCGCGCGCGTACCTTGTGCCGGATCAGCTCGTCCGTCGGGGTGGTGTGCAAGAAGCGTATCTCCAAGCGTACAGTCGGCCTGGATTAGTAGGTCGACCCTGCCAAATCAAGGGTACCTTTGTGTCCTGTGTCTCGCGACCCGTGCCTCCTGCATTCCTATGGCAGTGTGGCCCTCGGAAGGGTTTTTTGCTCGACTCTATCCCCAGGGGATGCCAATCTTGTGCGCAGCCCTCTGCCCGCGGTCCTGTGCGGGTCTGGCTTGCTCGTGGGGGTGGTCTGCAAGGGTCGTGCTTCCGGAGAGGAGGCCAGGCCTTCCCAGGAGGCGGCGGGCGGCGGGGCTTCTCTCCGTAGCCTTAAGTCGGGCCTGTCTTTCTACAGGGATAATCTTCAAACATATTCTTTATTTTTAAATATGATATTTATATGTCTATGTAGTATTAGTATGAGAAAAGTAGGTTGGATTTTTTTTGAGGGTATTTGTTAGACTATTTTTTTTTGCCCCAGATCCGCCTGTAGGGGGACAGGCCCGACCTAACCGTAGCCGTTCGAGGTCGAGCCATCCCTTCCCTGCCACTCGGCTAACATATCTTGGGTGGGATGTCGCTGGAGCGCAACATCGCTCTCTTGCGCAGCCGCGAACTCGGCGCGAGCACGAAGCAGCCCCACCACAAGCGGCCCTTCTCCCCCTTCGACCTCAACGAGGGCGTCGTGAAGTATCGCCCCGCGATCTCAGAAGAGGAACTCGACGGGTTCTGGCGGGCGCCCGAGTCCAAGCCCGAGTCGGCGGTGGTGCCGCGCTGCCCCGAGGAGGAGGAGGAGGGGGAGGAGGAGGAGGAGGGGGAGAGGAGGAGGGGGAGGAGGAGGAGGAAGAGGAGGAGGAGGAGGAGGAGGAGGAGGAGAAGGAGGAGGCGGAGGAGGGAGGCGGAGGGAGGCGGAGAGGAGGAGGGGAGGAGGAGGAGGAGGAGGAGGAGGAGGAGGAGGAGGAGGACGAGGAGGAGGCAGGGACGGAGGGAGGGAGGGAGGGAGGGATGGCGCCTGGGAGGGGCTCGATGTACACGCCACGTCGTCTGGCCGGCCAAGGGTTCGACTGATTCGGCGAAGCGCACAGGGCGCGCGGGCGCTCCAGCGTCCCTCGAGGCCTCCCAGAGGGGGGGTCCGAGCAGATGGGGTCGGAGGATCGCGCCGCACCGCCAATGCATCGGCGATGTGGGTTGACGTTTTAGTCGGGACTGTCCCTCTACGATTTCTCGATGATTTTTTGACCATTCTTGATTTTTGGGTATCTTTTATTTTTCGTCCAAAATCCCCCCGTAGGAGGACAGGCCCGACTTAACTCGACGGGTCGTGAATTTCTCCACGCCGGCGTCGCCGACGCACCGCCGACGTCGCCGGTGCATCGCCGGCGCATTGCCGATGCATTGGCGATGCATCGGCGATACTGTGCATTTCCCCAACCCCATCTCCTCTGACCCCATCCAGGAGGCTTCTGGTCCCACAGCCTGAGTGCTGCTGGGGCGTAGGTCCACGGAACCCCGACTTCCCTCGCCGACCAGGCCAGACCTGGTGTGTTTGTCGACCCCGCGCTGACTCCACGTGCTCGCCGGGGTGCGCTGCTCTGTCCTCCTGGTCCTCCTCCTCCTCCTCCTCCTCCGGCTTCTCCTCGCTCTGTCGTCGCCAGTCCTCGCCGCTGGGCTCGCTGCGGATGGGAAGAAGTGCTCTTCGACCCCTTCAGGCGCTGCAGGCGGCTCCAGCCAGCGAGCCGACGAGATGGGTGGGGGCGGCGGTGTTGGCGCTCCGCGCGCGGCGACCCGGCGGAGGCCACGGAGTCACGGAGGCCTCGCCCGCCGCGGCCGGGGAGCCGGCCGCGGAGCCCGTCGCCGAGCACGTCGAGACGGCCACAGCCCCCCCGTGTAGGCACCGGGACGATCGAAATGGGTCGGAGGAGGAAAAGCTACCCATTCCGCTGCCGATCCATCGTTTTCGCTTTTTTGGGGCCTCCTGGGAAGCCCTCGTCGCCACCGCTGAGTTTGCCTCGACGTCATCCTGGTCAGAACGCACCCCTGGAGAGGTCTGGGGAGTAGCGGTATCGGTACCTCTTGGTTCCCCCAAGTGATACGGAAAGGCTGGGGACGAGTTCTTGCTGATTTTTTGAAGCGTTGTCTGAAGAGGACCCGCTGTCGGCGTCGCCGCGGACGCTGCCCATTTTGGACCAGAGGTCGCATGGCCCATAGCGGCCGCTGCCGGTTTTCGGTTTTTGGACAACCGCTTTGCACATGTGCATCGTGCCGGCTCTTGCCGCATCCATTTTTCAAGAGGGAAATATCTAAGATTCCAAAGCACCGGGGGCCTAGGCCCTGGGCCGGCACACCCTCCCAGATTTCCCACTCTAAAGGGGGCTGGGGCAAAGGCGAGAGATAGCGAGCGTTTGTCCGCGGCCGTTCGTGCTCAAGCGGCCGGCCGCCAACATATGACTGTGCCTCATCGTGAGGCGCATTACTAGTCATTGGGACCGAAAACATCTTCGCTTGACATGGCCCGTCGCTCCCGCGACGATCTCCTATTTCTGGCATTATCGTCACTACGGTACAACAGAGTTGGATATGGGCTCCGCCTCAGGTGAAGCTTTTGGTTGGGCCTCCCGACCCCCTTCAAACTTGGTAGTGGAGCTTGCCTATGGTGGTCAGATTGAGCTCTACTCCTCACCATCCTCGGCACTATCTGGTGGACTACTGGCATGGTGGAACATCAAGGTGCAGTGGGTCTGCGAGGAGGAATGTGCAAAAACCGCAAACACAGTTGCAGCGCTACTTCTACTCTCGCGGAGGCCTCTTACATGAGTCCCACTTCCCTGCGCTACCACTCTCCTGAAACCCACCTTCCTACTCCATTTGTTGTGTAACAATAATAAACGCAATGGGTGGTAACATGCGATGCGACATTGTGCCGCCTCCACCCCCACGCAGGTTAAGTTAACTGCAACACATCACAATCCACAACCACGAACAACCGACCACGGCCTAAAGGGCATTGGATAGGTGTTACAATGTTTGGCTTTTTGTGGGTCGCTATCGGGTGTGCAGTGGGGCACATGCAGCGTGGCGGAGACGACGCACGTACTGCCCGCCCCCACTGGGGCCCTGCCGGTAATGTACCTTTTCGCGAAGTCGATCGCGAGGTGCAAGCCTGGATCAACGTGACCAGAGGCACCATGACCCCCGCCCAGCAGGGCGCGCGAGGACCATATCCATGAGAGTACATTCTGGAATCTTCAACTTTGGCGCAAACGTTGGTGGTCGCCATACGGACGGCGTCACCTGCATAATGTTCATCCTCAGCACTAACTGCGAAAATCTAGAGGGGGAACGCCAACTGAATCCAGGAACGGCTCTCATCGACTTTCGCGTTCATGCGGGGGAGCGGATCGACCAGGCGTTGGCGCGTTTTGAGATAGCGCGCTTCGAGGCCGAGACCGCGGGCTTCAATATCCCCGCCGTCCAGATCCTAACAGACATCCTGTTTAGGGCTCTGGGGATAGGTACGTCGCGCGCCCAACAACTACTACAACCACCCAACCACAAAATGCCAAGGACCCAGGAACAGTTTGGCTCTCTACCAGAACCCACGAGGTCCTGTGCTCACATTGCTGAGCGAACCCCTGGCAACATTGGTGGTATATTTAGCTACGGCCATCGTGCCGAAACCTTTCACACTGATACTCATACAGGGCAACCTGCTACCAGCGTCTGGAACGATGATCCACAGCCAACGCTAGCCACCATCTTATTAGCTCAACATGGTGACCATCCTACTGGGTCGCAAGACTTCTGGGCTCGGTATCAGGGGCCGTCGGCAACGGCGGCACCTGTCCAAGCCACTTCCCTTGTAGGCTCGGCGTTGCAAACCGCCGAGTCTGAATTTGACTCTGGTACCGACGCCGACACTTCATCAAATCAGGGAGCTGGTGCCCTCCCTATATTATTCCGACATGCCTACTTATCTCCCAGAAGAGCAGCAGGCGCAGTGGTTATTTCTCGGATACGAGAAACACAAACGCCGTTGGAGACGCTGTATGAAGAAACTAGTTCGCAAGGTACGGCGTACTATCCGACGGGCGTTCAGAGCAAAGGGTAAGGGTAGAGGCAAGGTTAATTGCAGACGACGGCGACTGCGTGGCAGAGGTAGGTTGGCATTCTTGGCGTCCTTTACCGGGCCGCAGTGCGACGAAATTTTCCCGGGGACAGGTGGGGGCCGTGGGCATGCCTGAGGAAAGGGTGAGGGGCGTCGGGGTAACCTGGAGGATGCCAATGGGAGAGCCATGGAATGTGATATCTGCCATAGCACGCAGCATTTTCGTCGTGAATGCCCCCGAGGCGATGGGGGTGGCAGGGATCCGTCGATGCAGTTGGCTCAAACCGATTCGGACATCCAGCATGTCGATTGGGAGACGATATTAGCCGAACCCTAGGACATCCCCACTGCCGCTGTCCACTTCATGGCCGCCAGGCATCTTTGCGCCAGCGTGTCAATCGAGAGATATGCCGGCGAGCTCTTCGAGGAGGTTCACGTTGGCCACGACGAGATCAACCAGGCGGACTGGGTGGGCATTCACATCGCGGAGCAACCTGGCTCGATGAGGATTTCCACGTGCCCGCCGATTCGGACCGCGAGATGGCGGGGGCACCTGCGGACTCCGATGCCACAGTACCAGCGACAGAAGAGGAGCTACAAGTGATGCTCCAGCCGCAGGTCATCGGTACACCCATATACGGAGAATCATGCGACGACGACCCTTTGCGGGGGAACCCGCGCCATGCTGGTGAGCTGTTCGAACGTGTCCAATTTGAACTTGGACGTGGCGAAGGCTCTCGCATCGCGTTCGAACGGTCTACGAGCTGCCCAGTTTGGAGGCGGGTGCGTCCTAGGGGTGACGACGAGAACGAATGGGGCACTGAGAGTCATCGCCCGCGGCGTCATGGTCGGAGTCATTCGCGCGGGCACTTGCGTGCCCGTTCCAGTGGCGCACTGCGCCCGCATCTCCCTGGCGCGAGGGCCCCGAGGACTCCACCCAGAGGGGAGCGCTCGCGGGGGGACCCGCCTCATGACGAGGATCGGCCAGGCGCACCTGGCGGCCCGGGCGCGCGGCGTCTCGTCAGCCACGAAGATCATGGGCTGGCTCGCCAGCGTACTTCAGCAGCAGCCATGCAGTGCTGGCTCGACGAAGGCTAGGCCGAGCACGACATTCGCCGCCGGTATCCACTCTGCCATATGTCGCGGGGTCCCGATGGCAAGATCGTCCGTGCCGACAGAGGTTATGGTGCTAAGTTGGCCCCCGCGCTTGAAAGAAGGGGCGCGAATAGGGCCATCATTAAGGATCGGGAAGAATGCCGGTGCCGGGTCGGCAGCTGTGAACATTATGCAGACCACAGACCACGCTGTCCAATGGGGCGTCTTTCTAGGGGCCTACCTTTGAGAGGTCACCGTGGGTTTGGTCTCATGGAGATGGCTTGGTTCGCAGGGTAGATCCGACCAACCGTTCTCCTGGACTATGCTTGGCCCAAGCTGATTGCCAGCCGATCGCCGAAGCCGAGGCACAATTCACTGAGCAAAAGTGGAAGAACCTCGACAACAATTACCGCCTCAAGCGATGCAACCGAGGATATCATGAAATGATGGCTGAGCCATTGCCTGCGGGGCAACCCACTTCTTCCTCGCATCGAGGTGCTGGTCCTCCGACGGGCGATAAACAGGATGGCGATCCCGTGCGTGCTGAGGCAGTTGGCCCTACTGCCGCTGTCCATGATTCAGAATGCACTTGCGAGACTGACAGCAGCGAATCAACGAAGGCGGATTTGGACGTCACCCAACAAGTGGCGGAGGACATGGATTTGGCGCCCGGTACAATGGCGTTTTGCCATGCCAGAAAAGTCGGATGGACAGGCGCCGAGGGATTGTGCAAGCGGGGCGATGGACGATGCAGATTGGATTGTAAAGGCAAGGCTAACATCAATAACATATCAATTTACAGGCCAAAAGGAATCCTACTCCAGCGAGATCTCCATCGAGAGATGCGGGGGATCCTGCGGCGTCTTCACGCGCGGGGGCGCCCGCCGAGGAACCGCCCGAGGTCCCGAATCCTCCGGGGAAGCGATTTGAGGAGGACGTCGATCTATCTCCGTCACCACGTACGCCAAGGTCACCACGTCCAGCATCATCTAAACAGATGAATGGGGACCGGTTCAGCAGAGGCCGACGCTGGAAGCAACAGGTCGCGCAGGTCTGCGGGGGAACCTGCTTGCAGACGGCGCGCCATGGGGCCCGCAGTGGCCGCGGCAGCCTCAGTGTTCCAAGGCAGCAGCTCGCCCGCGCCGAAGGAACCTGTATGCGTGCGCGGCCCAGCCCCTGGCCGGCGCTTCAGGGGAGCTGGCTGGGCGCCATCGTTGGGCGGTGCAACCAGGGGGCCCTCCTCGCAGCGAGATGAGGGTGAAAGTGCACTGCGGACTACATCAAAAGCACCAGGAGGTGCTCCGAAGATCGCCGGATGCCAGTGCCAGGACATCCGCGAAAGAGAGAAGTCATCTGAGTGGGCAAGCTCATCTCAGCGCCAGCTGCGGCTTTGACCCCTGTGGGGGCGCCCGCTGAACGCTGAACCATCCTTTGCGTCCGCGGGGCAACTTGCTGCTACCCTCGAATTGGTAGAGGGGTGCAGGCGATTCTGGGGAACCCTGGGAACCCTGAATCAGATGAAGGTCTATCCAGCCTGCGGGACTTTTGCCGCTGGCGGCTCCGAACGATACAGGGTGGTTCAATGTCATATCGAATGTGCCGCCGCCTACGCTGATAACGATGCGCTTGACGCGCCAGCGCGTCCACAACATCTCGCAGAAAGAACCTGCCCTTAGCTTCAACTCCGAGGAGGAATACTTAGTGCAGATACTGCGTCAGGCGCATATCTGTACGAAGCTCCCGAGCGAGCGCGATGAGCGTTACTGCTCGGAGTGGCTCACTACAGCCACTCGGCACAATCCATTTCACCATGACAGGCTCTCTGACCAGCTTATCAGCTGTGTCACCTCGTTCGACGAGTTCGACGGTTGGGTGGGCCTCCGAGACTTGCCGGAAAATTCGCCGCCGGAATACCGCGAGCATTGGCATATTCACCACCTGGGCGTCATCAGGAAATGCTTCCGAGGCAGGCGCTGGGCAAATCAAGCACTGGCGGTGCTCGACCTCTGCGGGGTGGTCGACAACAACTCCTGCGTGCAGAAGAATTGGCTTCAGGTAAAGAAGCTCAAGTTTTGCGGGGAAGCCCGCCCGACGTATTTCTTGCGTCCCAGTAATGGACGCAGCAATCCAGGCACCAGACGCCCAGAATCTTTGTGCTCGCGGGTAACAGACCTG